CTGTCACTGGTCCTTACCTTGGTGATGTTCCACACTGGTATAGACCAGCTGTGTGCTAGACTGGCTAATCAAATTGGCAAGTGCCTGATTAGGCAATGACGGGGCTTAGCAGATACCATCGCAGATTGGTTTAGGCCTGGAAACTCTGTCAGCAACACTTATGTCATAGCCCAGAAATTGTATAGAATCCAGGCTAGATGCAGTAATATCCAGTGCCCGTAAAGGCCTAGACACCAGCCAAGCTAACCAAGTGATCCTAAATAGTTTGAAGGATCTGTCCAGCTCTGTGTCCACTTCACTAGACCTAACCAGATATTTGGACCAGAGATTAATTGGATTGTTAATTAATGGAACTAAATTAAAAGAATTAGAAGGCCAGTATTGAAGAATAAGATAGCTTTGACCATCCAGCCCTTATGGTGGTGAGTCCCCATCTCCCCCGTGCCTACCCATGGGAGTGGGGAAGTAGAGAATCCATGAGGACCCAAAGGCCCACCTGGACAGGGCATAGTATAACCATTTGTTTTTGGCCCCTCTGGGGATTCCTCACTCAGATCAGATCAGAATGGTAACCACCCTGCTTGTAACAAAGCAGGAGCATATAGATAAAGTTGAGAGCATTGCTTATTCTGAAGTTGTGGGAGCCTCCCTATATCCAGGGATTGTTGCACCCACTTTGATAAGGACATTTTATGTACCTGCCCATTTAACATCATGACGAATCTGCCTAGGTTTGATGTGGTTGTCTCAGAGAAACAAAAACATCGAGATGGTCCAAATGAACGGTCCAAATGAAGAGAGCAAGAGTCAGGCTGTGTCTGTGGCCTGACAACGCGAGATCTGTAATTAGACGCTGCCTTCACCTCTCGCCTCTATACGGAGATAAGGATAGAATGCTGACTCTGGCAGGGACCTTGAGATAAGGAGCATCTGGGTGGGACTAAATAACTGTTAGCCATTGGTGTTTGTAATGGGAAGGAGACTAATTATTATTGTTGTTATATCTAATAGACAGTATATAAACTGCTTCATAATTGCTTGTATTCGAAGATCTGCCTCAGAGGGTGGGGGTTCCCCCCCACCCCCCGTCTGAACCAGTTTTTCCCTTGCTGCAGCTTGTAATAAAACTGCCTCTGGCTACTTGTTGCTTAAACACAATGCAGAGTGAAGGCTTGTTTTCTTCCACAAAGATTAAACCATTAGTTGCTAGTGCTTTGTCCTAAACTAGTTTACCCTGGACATTACCAACTCTGCCAGATAAGGGCTTTTAGCATTCCTGAGTACAGTGAAACTCCAATTGTCCGGCATCTAGTGGTCCGGCACTCCTAATAGTCCAGCACCAACTGGAACCAGGAAGTGCTCCAGCCAGCCAGACAATTCTCCGCACCACTTCTG